TTTTAATAACTAATTTAAAGTTCACCTGAGATTGAAGAAAATTTCATTGCATTTAGTGTAAAAAGGTTCAATATATAGCAGGAAATTTGTATCATAAAACCTCCACAGTCTATGTTTTATTAATAACGTTGCTGGTACATGGATCTCGTAACTTCAAAATTTTTTACCTGGTTTTTTTTTATAATACTCATTCTCTTGGAGTAATATTACAGTTGTCGTGTTTTTCTAAGTTTGATTAAAATTAAAATATATCGTTTAATGGTTGATAGGTCCAAAGATTTCAGATAAATAGGTTTATATATCGAACTATTGGCTCAAAGACACACGTTCGCTCTAAATCTCACCAATTATAAACCAGACTGTGATACGTGGTTTACTCTGGAGTTTTTTTTCCCTAGATATATTCAATAACTGCAGATAAACACGTTTATATAGCAAATTACTTTATGAAAGACAGATATTCACTTCTAGCCTCAACAAGTGGTTGTTGATTAGGTTACTACCTAAGTTTTTTTTCGTGTATAGGTTCATATACTTTAGACAAACATGATTATATAGCGAACTGCTTGCTTAAAAACAAGTCTTCGCTGCGACTCTCATTTATTCTTAACCAGATGCTGATACTTGGTTTACTCACGGATTTTTTTCCATGGATAGGTCCAATAAACTGCACATAAACACGCTCATTCGGCGAATCACTTGATCAAAAATAGATACTCACTTCTAGCCTTACCAATTGGATGAACACATGCTGATGTTTGGCTTACTGACTGAGTTTTTTTCCCGTGATTAAGTCCAAAGATATCAGACAAACACGTTTATATAGTGAACCGCTTGTTTAAGTACTGATGTTCACTTCTAATCTCATTGGTGCGATAAACAAAGGCTGATGTTTGATTTCAACGAGACATATTTCATTTCCTTTCTTGACACTATAGCTTCTACGCTTAATGCCCCTTATGGGTCCCTTATGCCCCTTATGGATCCCTTGTGTCCCTTATGGATCCCTTGTGTCCCTTATGGAAAAGATTCTTAAGGAGCTATTCCATTCATTTTATTAAAATTTCTTATGATTTTCTTCGAAACTCTATTTTATACTTCGAAACATGTAAGCACATACATATATTACATATCTGCCAATTTGGATCCACAAGGATACATATTTAATCGAATTTTTTTTCTTTTCGAAGACAAAACAAAACAGCAATAATCAAATAAACAGTAAAACTATAAATATTTATGAAAATTTGTTAAAGCTAAACTTATTTAAAATTTTATTTGATAACTTAAACTTTTGTAAATTGAGTTTCAAAGTCAAATTTTGGTATATATTATTTGCCCCTCATCGCTTCTGTTATCCTTGAGCATAAGGATAACAGAGACTTAAGTCCTGCTGTTATATTCAAATATGATTACTTTTAATCAAAACAAACCTTTCCGATGCTTTTCTATTCATTCGAAAACTGTCAACTAAAAAATACCGGCAAATTGCAAAAAATACAACAAAAAAGGATTTTATACTTCCAAGAAAAGTCGAAGTAATCAATTGGTTGCATAGCTTCCCAACTTGCTGTCCTTGCTTGCTTCTGCTTCTGCTTCTGGTGGTGCTGTAAATTGCATACTAAACAAATAAAGTTGCCAGACATTTTCGATTGCTGATTTTACAATTCAAACCATTTTTCCCCCTTTCTATTTTATTCAGAAATATTTTTCATATATTCAAAATTTGTGCTCAGATATTTGTTAACCAGAAAAAGGACAAAAAAATCTCAAGACTTCCTTTAAAAATGTAAATGAAGCTCATGTCGTCTTAGTGTGCATTTAATGCTTGTTTATTCGTGTGCGTGCATGTTTCGGCTTGCACAACTTATTGCACTTTTCATGATTTGCAGGAAGCGTGTGTGAATATGTTGGATGAGTGTAGGGTGTATGTGTGTGTTCGTCCTTGCGGACAAGTGAACAAGTGAACGTAATAATGCATGAAATATGGAAATGCAATCACAAGTTTTTATCTTCTTGCACGTTTTCTCGAACTTTCATTATTTTCCTTACATCTGAAGGAAGCCAATTTTTTTGCCTGTCGGAATATGGAATTTGTCAATTTAAGACTGATTCATCTGAAAAATGATGAGTAATAAGAAAATATTTGACAGTTGCATATCCTTATTCTTGCTCATACGAAGATTTTTTGTTTGTCTAGAATTAAAGTTTTATATATATAACTCTAATGTCTCATTAGTATATAGATGTATAATTTATATAATAATTTGAATTATTTTTAAGAAGCTCAATCAATTATCCTTTACACACAATTAATTTCTCTAATGTATAGAGTCTGAAATATGGCGGTTTAAAAATGTGTCTTCAATGTTAATTGTCAAAACTCAAAAAAGATCAATCTCCTACGAAAAAAATTCTAAAATTTTTTCCTGAATTATGGATCTTCTTAATTTATAAAAGAACTTCACAAAAAAAAAATTTGACCAAATTGGAGGTGATAATATGAAAAGATTGTCCGATTTGTAAAAGAATCACCCATATATACGATATATACTGTAGTCAATACTAGCTGGACCCATAAAAAAGAGAAAAAAAACTTTTTTTTGATTATTGATGTTAAAAATCACTTAAGTTCGATCAAAGATATTTTATAACATTCTCTTAGCTCACTCATTCATTCACTCTTAGCTCGCATGGCATGCTGTGCCCGATTTTTGGCGTTTTTAATCGTATATGCCTATGTTTTGACCGGTATGGTGGCTATTTCCTGCCTGATGTTGACGTTAAGTTCATCTAGCGCTCTTGGCTTGTTAATATAAACATTTGACTTTATGTAGTTCCACAGGCAAAAGTCTATTGGTGTCGAATTTGACAAATGCAGTGACCAGTCAAAATAATAATTCATAGATATCAAACAATATTTGCTGATTCGATTAGATTTTAATTTTAGGAATAGCTTCAAAACACAAAAGATTATGTACAGTAGAGTGGTTCGAGGGATACCTAACTTCGCAGAATGACGTAAATCTGTTATTTATGACACTCGCTTCTACGGCCACGATATTTAGATCAGTTCGTCTCGTTCGCTTTTTATTTGGACGTCTGCGTCAAGCAACAGTACCAGAAGAAAAAATTTCTTCCCATATTCGCTTTATTGTGTTCTTCGACAGTGCATTTTTATTTTATTTATTTAAACTGAATAATATTTAAAGTTGAAATTTTAAAACGACATTTTGATAATCTTATAAAACGCAGAGGCAATCATTCTAGGATTCATTCAACTAAAAAAGATTAGTATTGCAGATATAGTATTATTATTATTGTTTGTGGATGTGGCACTGCGACCGGTGGGTTTATTGTGTCCCCTTCCGGGCTTAGAATAGGTCTTTAAGCCCTATTGCGTCAATAAAAAGTAGTATAGAACGTACGTTACAGAGTTTTATTGCCTCTTCCGTATGAATAAACATTCCCAGGAGCCTATTTCGTAAGTGCATTAGCGCAGGGCATTCCAACAGCACATGTATGGCCGACTCCTCTTTACAGAATTTATAGTTTGCATCCGCATATATACCCAGTGTCGGAAGGTTTTATTTTAGTTTACAGTGCCCTGTTAAGATACCTATGATCATTCTAAGTTTTTCTTTTGATAGGTTCATATAATTCTGGCATCTCTTAGTGTCATAGGTACCAATAAGTGATTTAGATTGTTCTCCTTTATTGTTAAAAGAAAAAAGAGTGTACTATGTCCTAGTCCACAAAAAGGTTCCGGTCCCATTATCAGTGTGGTTGCTCCTTTTCTGGCTAGTTAGTCCGAGTATTCGTTACCGCGTACGCCAGTATGTCCCGATACCCAAAGAAACAAATGATATAGTAAAAGGCAAATAAAAAAAAATTAATAAGCTCAAACTATTACTTATTAAAATCTTAATGTTTTAATATTACAAATCTCACACAAGGAACAATATCCTTTAATATTCCACACTACTTTTCGAAGTACCGAAATGAATGTCTTTGCAGAAACTATCTAGTTTAACAGCTCTTAATATTTTATTTCCTTTGCCCAAAACTTATGTACAATACAATTTATATATTGTATATTTATGTATATATATATGACTACATATATATGATAATAAAAATGAAATATCTGAATGTATAAATGAATATACAATTTTTTGTATGGAATGATTTTGTGTACGTATGTATCTTCACATTTCTGATGAAGAAGTTTTTCTATTGTTTAATTTTGCATATAATTTTGCAACATCTTTGCACATATATCAAAATTCATATTGTTCCAGTCAAGGATTCTCGGAAAAGTTACAGCATTAGCATATGCACATAAGGACATGGGTATGTGTTTTGGGTAAAGGTAAGCCAAGATGACATTTCTATTCGTGTCTTTTGTGAGTAGGATAATGAATAAATTTTTTAATTAAAATTAAGATAAAATATTAGTTGTGATAAGTCTGTAGTTTAATAAATATAAATGTTTTAAGTTTAATTAAAATAAAAAATAAATCAAAAATAAAAAGAGTATAGAAGCTAATGGAAGTACACTTGTGTGCAAAACGTATGCAAAACGGCAAAATCAAAGGGTTTTATTTTGTTAATAATTAAAACGTCAATGTATTTATAAATATTTTTACAAATATTATATATACAATATAAAGATTAATCATATTTATACTTAGAACTCATGTTAAGGAAACAAATAAAAAATTCGAAACAACTGTTTCTTAAACAAATAATAGTTAATTTGGTAAGGAAATTTTTTAAATTACCTACGGTTGGTTCTATAGACGTAGACATCAATAGGTATAAGTTTCATATTGTATTTAAGAACACAAATCATGATGACTTAATATAGCGTAAGAGAGTATCTAGGTAAATAAACTATATTGCGCACATAAACTTAAAAATGTCGAAATTAGTAAAATATTGAAATTAGATATTTTTGGCAGTTTAGTATAGTGGCAGATTTGAAAAAGTTTGGATATTAAAGAAAAAATGTTGAAGAAATACTTTGCAAGAATTTTTATAGTTCTATTAGTTTTACAAATATTTAATATAGATGTCACATATGGAGCTCCAGAACCAAAACCCGGAAAGAAAAAAGCGTTTGGTAAGTCAAGATTTTATAAGTGACTATAAATATTTTGTTATTATTATTATAGCATGTTCTCTAGAATATTTGATTGTATAAACTTAGCCTATTCACAAAGAGTTCTTACAAAAGTTTTCCAAGTTTGATTATTTCGAGCTATATATCTCAGTTCACCTATCGATTTATTTATTTCACTGTTTATGATTCGACACCAAGAATTGCGTGGTCGTTCTCAGGTTCTACTGCCTTGGAATCTATTGATATACTATAAACAAAGCACGCCCATATATGAATATTTATCTTATATATATAATTCTTCTGTACGTGTGTTGACAGTGAACTCCTCCTAAACGGCTGAACCGATTTTGATGAAATTTTTTGTGTGTGTTTAAGTGGATTCAAGGAAGGTTTAGATTCACAATTTGGCCCACAGGATAATGTCTTTTTAATTAATTTTTTATTTTTTGGTATCCATATACTTTTATATTAGAAATTTAAAATTTATTCATGCTTACTTTGATTTGTTTAAAAAGTTTAAAATCTCTAAAATGAATCGTAAAACTGCCGTTGCATAGCTTAAGTGCATTTAAATTCCGCATTATAAATCGTTTGGCAACCGATCTATTAAACAATGATATGCAGCGCGAATTTCAGTATAGCTCTGAAGATTTGGTTGAATTTGTTACAAGAAGCGAACAAATCTTAACGCACCAACAAAAGGTCATTTATGATCGGGTTTCGAACGCAATTGCGGCAAAAAAAGAAGGCGGCTTTTTTTCTTGGATGCACCAGGTGGAACTGGAAAAACTTTCTTAATTTCAGTCATTCTTGCAAAGGTTAGAATGCAAGGAAATATCGCTTTAGCACTTGCATCATCTGAAATCGTTGCGACATTGTTAGATGGTAGTAGAACAGCCCATTCGGCACTAAAGTTGCCACTAAACATACATTCATGTGAAAATGGGGTATGCAAAATTAAAAAACATTTAAATATGGCTCAAGTACTTCAAAAATGTCACATCATTGTTTGGGATGAATGCACAATGTCACATAAATATTCATTGGAAGCATTAAATGAACACTTAAAGATTTAAATGCCAACTGTAGACTTTTTGGAGGCGCTTTAATTGAAAATCAATGTTTGCCTAAAATCATCCATTTTGTGGCGAAGTGTCCATATATTGCGACTTACCGAAAACATGCGTGTTGGACTACAGAGCGATTTAGCAGCAGAACTGTTTGCCAAACAATTGCTGGATATTGGTAACGGAAACGTAAGTCTTCATGAAAATACGCACTTTATTAAATTGCCAGAAAATGTTTATAAAATTGTTAATTCGGAAGAGGAGTTAATAGAAAACGTATTTCCTAACATATATCAAAATTATCAGAACCATCAATGGCTTCAAAGTAGAGCGATTCTGGCTGCCAAGAACTTAGATGTCGATGAAATCAATTTCAAAATTCAAGCTAAGCCTTCTGATCTATATACATATATACGTACAAAATAGCCTAACAAAAAATATTGTTCATGATTTAGCTTTAAGTTAACATTATAGCCCATAATAAAACTGTTAATATAATATTAAAAAAACCTTTTTTCATGTAAAATGTAGTGCTTATAAGGATTTGAAGTAGCATGAAAATATTTGTAACATAAGTAGTTCAAAAGAAAAAATCAATTCAAAATAATTTTAGCATTAAAATGCTAAAGGATAAGTTGAATAACAACAAATATTATAACTCAGCTGAGCCAGGAAAATTAATTGCAAGGGGAAACAACGTTCGCCGGGTCAGCTAGTATATATATATTTTTTTATATACATAAAAATTTAATATAAAATATATTGATTATACTTCGAACATTAGTAACGAATTAAATTCTAAATGAAATCTGTCACAGAGCTTGGGCCACTTATCCGAAAAAAAGACACCATTTATTTTCTTTACTTATCAGACAAACTTAGATACGTTATTTGATAGAAAGGAAGCTATGAAAAATACATACATGGGTCTTTGGTACAGGTAAGCCAAGATGATAGATCTATTCGTGTCTTTTATGAGCAGGATAATAAATAAATTTTTTAACTAATATGTGTTACAATATGTGTTACCAACTAGAAGTTGTTAACAATGAGTAGAAATAGATAGATTGTGTACAAGATTATGAACACCCTAACCCTATCCTTAAAGAACTTTCAAGTCATATATAATATTAATGACAGATATATTAAAATATAATATTCAAAACTCAACTTTACCAAAATTTTGAAATTGCAAAATTATTTAAATTATTTAATAGTCACAATTTAATTAATTTATTAATAAATGATATTAAAAAATTTTGATATTCCCTTACTACTATAATCGAAGCCCACGACTATTCGTACTAACATTTTTACATTTAGTAAATTATCGGATATAATTAATTAATAAAATTTATCTGATTATATCGAATATTAGGAGTTGGACTCTTAGGTGGTGCTTTAGCTGGTGCATTTTTAGGTCGTGCTGTGGCCAATCACCAACAACAGCAGCAGCAGCAACAACAACAACAGCCACAAATACAACAAGCGAGCCCTAATACTGATGTGAAACCTGTAACAACAATTGAAAGAGGAAATGTACAGCCAAATGGTTGTTATACACAAACACAGACAGAGCCGGATCCACAAGATCCACGAAGATATATTAAAACTGTACAATGGGTATGTCCACCAGTACCGGCACCAATACCACCAGCCGCATTTGCACCTGCTGGTATGCCTGTACTGCAATCAGCTCAACCAGTTGCACATGTACCTGCACCAATAGCTCCACCAGTTGCAGCAGCACCAGCTGTTCCATCAGTTCCTTTAGTACCTTTTACACAAGGGCAGCATGGTCAACCAGCAGCTATACCAGCTCCAGTTCAACCACCACAACCAGCTCCAGTTGCACCAGTAGCAAATGTTCAACCAGTTGCAGTTCAAGCTCCAGCAGCACAAATTCCGGTAGCACATGCTCCAGCAGCACAGGTTCCAGTTGCACATGTTCCAGCAGCACAAATTCCAGTAGCACATGCTCCAGCAGCACATGCTCCAGTAGCACATGTTCCAGCAGCAAATGCTCCAGCAGCACAGGTTCCAGTTGCACATGCACCAGCAGCACATGTTCCTGTTGCGCAAGTACCAGTTGCCCAAGTTCCAGTAGCTGCAGCGGCGCATACTCCAGTAGCAAATGTACCAGCAGTACAAAATTCGCAACAACCTCAGTTACCAGCACATGTTGTACCTGTAGCTCACAATCCTGTTGCTGCAGCGCCGATAGCACCAGCTGCTCTCCCACCAGCAGTACCCGTTGTACCAGTCGTTAGTATAGGTCAGCAACCTCAAGTACCAGTCGCAGCTGTACCCGCAAATCCTGCTGCTTCTCCAGGTACGAACCCAAAAGTTGTCGTCATATCCAAAGATTCCGGTTTCTATAGGAACAACTCTGATCGTAGAGCCAAACAGGCGGATATAGCTCTAATATTATTTTTTGCTGCTTTCGCTTTTTTTTTATTCTAAACTTTCGGTTTTATAGCAATAACTTTGCAGTATCTGAAAAGTAAAAATTTTGACATATGAAATCTTAAAATGCTATTAAACCGAAAGTTATAAACTCAATAGATGAAGAATGATGACGTCAGTTTGACAAATTAAAATGTGTTTTGAATGTTAAACAAATAAAAAATATTTTTAATCAACATATTTAAACTCTATATATAAAAATATATGAAACAAGCGATAAATAAATATTGACATAGTAAGTTACTGTATCGAAAAAATATTTTTTCACAAAAACGGAACCGAACCAAATTTTATATGTAGATACATAAATGTTTTTAAAAATTGTTATTGAATATTTATAAAAATTTATAAAAATACAATATATATTGTGTGTTCATTATAATATTAGTACAACAAAGATTAATTAACAGTTGAGGTGATGGGGTTTTTCGGACGAGTCGATAGTAAAGAAACGCAACAGAGTCATTCAACAATGAGCCAGTATATTCAAATATGTCAAAGAAATTAACTAAACTAATATTAAAACAATTTAATTTAACTACTTCAATAATGATTTGATAACAATTAAACTCAATCAGTAAAGAAAATTGTGATTTCTAGAAAGACAATACACGTGCTTAGTCATGATAAATTCAAAAAATGGTCTAGAAATCTATCTGATAATTAATATAAGTAGTCCATAAATTGTTGTTATATTTACCATATTTTCAAGATTCAAATATCATCCAGTATGAGATACTCACACATCTAGGTATCAGGCAGTATCCAAGGGGCTGGGATGTGAATACAGGATTGAAGCTTCTCTCGAAAAGTAGAGACGTAAAATAAATATTTTATTTTAGTTCTTTATGGTATAAATATTTTTTCTTACAAATTAGTCATAACACTGTACTAGTCTTTTGAAAATATCCAATCTTGACATGTCCTCATCTTAAGTTTCCAGATTTTCCCTCTAAGTGTATATTTCGAAATATTCAGATCTTTATATTTTTAGAAATTTTATCAGAAATTTGGGTCAATATATTCTATATAAGGATAAAGTAAGTGCATATTACTATACTATTTTTCCAAAATATTTAATCTTCTGACGTCATTATTTTTATTTTATAATTTTTATAATAATAAGTTTTATGATTTAATTTATAATATAAATTTCTGACTATTACTATGATTAGATAGAATAGAAATTAATAGGAGTTCTCTGTTAATAGCAAAGCGAAGCTCTGCAGCCATAAAGTGTTGGAAAAAACAGGCACCAAAAATGTCAAAACTTTTCCTAGCAAATGATGGTTACTGACATATATGGTGGAGTACAGCTTCCTCTTTATCTTCTTTATTCACAATCCCGTCAAAATTCATTAATGGTAGAGCCACTCTAATAGCATGTGTTCCTAGTATGCAGTGAGTGGTAAGCACCGATACCGTAGTGCTGCGTAGATTACGGTTTAGTTGAAGCATCTGGTATGTGTCTTCAACGGTTTGAACCAGGTCGATTTTAAGAACTGACAGTATGGTTGACCTGCACAAAATAGAAGGTACTTTCTGGAAATGCTTTCAATACTAAAAATTCCGAATAAAAAAATACTAACTTATAAAACGGTTACGGATAACGTGCTCAGGCTTATAGGTTTATATTATAAACAAATCACACAGAATATTGTTTATGCATTTTATAATTTGTGTTCTCTTTTTATTTTTATTATTATAATCATAATAATATTATTGTATTTGTTATTTTTCCCGCTATAACTTTTTGTTATAGCGTTATATTTTGTATTTTCCCTGAAGATGACTATCGAAGATAGTCGAAATATCAGAAAATATCTTAATAAAATAATATGTTTTAAATATAAAAAATAAATTATATATTTTTTATTTTTATTTAAATGATATATTAACTATATATTATATATATATATGAGAACAGTTTGATAAGTCAGTGACTTCGTGTGCTGATTAAGCATTAATGGCCAAAATCCACAAATTTGGATACGAACTGCTACCCCATCCAACATATTCTCCAGATTTAGCCCCCTGCGACTATTTTCTGTTTTCAAACCTAAAGAAATGGCTGGGAGGTAAGAGATTTGAGTCGAATGAAGAAGTCATTACCGAAACAAACGCGTGTTTTTTGAGAGCTTTGAGAAAACCTATTATTTGAAGGAAATAAGAAAATTAGAAAAACGCTGGACTATCGAGTTAAAAGGTGATTATGTAGAAAAATAAAATGTTTATTTGCAGAAAAAAATTTGTTTTATTCAAAAAGTCACTGACTTATCAAACCGCCCTCGTATAACTATAATTTAATTAAACACCTCGTTAAATTTTTGATGAATCTAAGCAGCAGAACAAATATAATTTCAATGGAGTTGATTGCTTTAATAATATTTTATATGAAAAATCAACTTATGGGTCATCAGGTTGGGTACTTTTAAATTTCCTACTAAACGTATTCAGTTTATGGATCTTGGTTATGTTTAGATAAAAAAAGTCCAATGTCAGTTACCTTTTTTTTTTTTGTTTAATGTTATTTTATGTCTCATTAAATCTGTGCCGCCTATAATAACTTATTTTGTTTTCACAGACTCTCTTGCCTACATCCGTCAATCGGTCGGTCTATGGGCAGAACTGTAAAAAATTATTTCTAAAGCCATTAAACCATAACAGATTTAAGGATTTTTTAATGTTTTTTTATTTTAAGAATAAAAAAAATGACAGCAAGCAAACAAAATGTAAGCCTAAAAGGATTAAAAAAATTCAAGCAAAACCTTTTTTTTTTTGTTTTTTTTTTTTAGTTGTTTTTTGTTACACTTCTGACATTTTTTTCTCGTTTACTCTTTTTTTTTTGTTGCATAAAAATTAACTGAAGCTGCTACTGCTGCTGCCAACATCATCCTTAACGCCCAAAGCGCTGTAAATAAATAAAGTGTTAACATTGTTGCTCACTTCCGTAGTCTCTAACAAGAGCCAAGAAATGAAGAGTCTTTCAAATCGCCCCCTCCGCACTAACCCCACAACCCACTAACCTTGATGTATAGTATGGTATGTCGTATGCTTTGTAACTGTTGTTGTTTATTATTTCTGTTGTAATTGTTGTTGTAGTTGTTGTTGCTATTATTTCATATTTGCAACACGCAGGCCAACGCAAGCTGCCACTGAAAAAGACAATATTTAAGCGTCACCGACAAGAGGCCAGCAAGCCAACAGTGGAAAATTGCTGCCTTTTCCACTACACAAAGTGGAATTTATTCTTTAAAAAAAAACAGCAGAGAAAACCGTAAAAAAACAACGAATAATCTTCCATATAAGTTTGCAACCAACTGCGTACGCGATGCATGTGTGCGTTGTGTGCGTTGTGTGGGAGGGTCAGAGGCTGACAATGTTTTCAGAAGAGCCAACAAAACACAAAAGCATAAAAGGCGCAACCTTTTGTATTGCAATTTTTAATTCTTGCATCCTTGTGTGTTTTGTTTTGATTGCATGTGGTGTGCTTGTGCTTGTTCTTGTGTTTCGGTGGAACATGCTTGTGTGTGTTTGGGGTGGGTGAGTGTGTGAATGAGTGTGGGTTGTGATGTGATGCTGTTATCAGATGTTTAGACCAAAATATTCATGCCCTTATGAGTGAGACAGAGGGAGAGAGAGAGAGAATGTAAAACTGCTGGAATTTTTGCTGAATTAATAAGAGTTGTCCGCGTTTTATTGAGAGGGAAATATTGTATAAAGGTGGTAAACCGTTTATTTACTTTAGTTTTTTAACGCAGTTAAGGAGATAGGAACCACAAATTTCAATTAAAATTTGTATTAAATAAAAGCAAGAAATATTTACCCTAAAAGAAATTGTTAGTTCTAACAAGAAAAAATTAGTTTTAGATAAGGAGGGCGTTTATTATAGGATTATTATTATTATTTTAATTAAAAGAGCGAGGAAGATTTTATTTTGGATTCAGTGCATGATTTCTAACTTTGTTACCACAAAACAATATCAAATCTTCGTACCATAAACTTAGACGGGTACCAATATTTAACTACAGTTAAAGTAATTGCAATATAGACAATAGCATAAAGAGGATGACGTAGACATAGTTTTATTAATATTAATTTATGTTAGATCATGATGCTGATTATGACTTTCAAGAAGAGTCGAAGTATAGAATATATTAAAAAATATTAAATAAACGTTGAATTATTTAACAAAAAGTGACCTATAGACGGATAAAAAAATTTATAAAAACCATTATATTTGATAAATCTAAAAATATCTATTTGGTTAAAGACATTAGACCTTATTTAATTCAACAAAATTCAAATGAATATACTCGATATGTTTCCTAAAAATCATAAAACACAAGCAGATGAAATGGACGATTGTTTCACCATTTATATTTCACAAGATTTGCAGGTATAGGTGTCCTTAAAACTTACCTTTAAAAAGTAATTAATAAAGTTTTTAATAGTGTTGTCGTAAAAGCTTTCTTATAACGACAGAGAAGCTATTTTTAAAATTTAGAGGGTTTTCGAATAGCTATTCGAAAAAAGTAATTAATCTAAGTTTAGACTTGTTGAAGACACATCTATCAACATTTTCATTTATGACCCAAATAAAGTATTTAAATTACCTGAGATCTTTGCCATGGAAAAATGATTTCGCAAACAATTTATGTTCAACATTTACGAGTACTGATAGAGAGGATATCCATAACTTTGCCAGCACGTATATTTAATTCGATATCTTGAAATACTGATAACGAATGACAGAGTAACATGATGACCTAATTTGAAAGCTTGACAACCTTGTGCTCTTAATACACGTATCAATATAATTCGCTGATAAATGTTTCCATTAGAATTTCAAGGAATTTCACCAATAAAACTATGCTGTTCATTGGATCAGACCACCCGGTTGGAAAATGTATCTATATCTAATGAAAGTTAGAAAATAAAACAGCCAATATGATACTCTCAATACTACCTCAATTGATCAGACAATCCGACACGGTTAATGGCGTAAATACCGATTCTTTCTTCTTGTATAATAAATCATCTTCCTCTCACTTCATCATTTTTTATCGCTTTTCTCAATGTTCCAATGTCCAAAAAGTCAGGTAAGTTCTTTCTGCTTTGTTCGACTATATAAGATTATGTTACATTATATAAATTACAAATATCAGATTTTGTCTACATTCTAAAACTTATATAATCGTTAAAATAACTCAAAATCACTTAATTATTTTTTTTATCTTATTAAAATCTTAAATAATAATCAAAGGAACAAAAGTTTGAACGATACGAAATTTGGTGTGGTGGATTGTATATAAACAATAGAAACAAGAAAATTAACTTTACATTTTTAATATATTTTGTTTTTTAATATTTTAAATTAATATTTCAGATATTTTTAATCTAATATTATATTATTTAAAAATAATTAGTAGATTTGCTCATATAATTCTTAAAAGTTTCGTATTGTATATTTAACTTTCATCAACCTGAAAGCTTTTAAGCGATGAATCTTTTTCCTTTTATATTTTCTGTTAAATGTTACATATAACAAACTATTTATATAATTTAGCACAAGTATAAACTACGGTTTCTAGAAATATTAAATTTATCTATAAAACTCTACAACAAGGACTGTTGAATGCTTTACAAATGTCTGCGCATAATTTTATAGCACAAAGTGTATTATCTAGTATAAAGACTGGATATAAAATTTCTTAAATAAGATAAAGTGCTTTATCTAAGAAACATTAAAGCTCAGGATAAAAATCAAGATATAGATGTAAGATAAATATTTAATTAATATATTTCCCATTGTTTATGGAAAATTTAAATAAAAGCACGGAAAACAAAATGAAGACATCTTTTTAGAAAAGTTTGAGCATAATTTACTATAAAATTATACTAAAATTATTAAAAGCTCACGATAGATGGAGAATTGTCTTAAGTTTAGATAATTCTAATATTATATAATTTGTCATGTTTCTGAATATAAAAAAGTATTAAACGGAGTTTTTTTTTAACCGGCGTAACCGCCAGTGGGGCAAAACTTCTTTCACTATTTATCTTCATATTAACTTAACTGATGTAGTGTTTGGCTTCATAGTTTCGAATTTCAATCTCATAGTTTCAAACTTTAATCTCTGTTAAATTGATTTCAACATTATTAAACCAAAAGACGACTTGACCAGGATTTACATTGCTATTCTTTCAGAGGTTTCATTAACATATAAAGACAACTCGATCACATGAAGTGCTCTCGCCATCACAAACGTTTGAGTTCCCAAAACATTCTTAGAGTTATAAATTAGATCCAATATTCTCTATATGTCTGTACCTATTACCGTATTATATATTCATCCCTGAATATTTATTTTAAAAGCTGCTGGGGGTGTGGGTGGAATTTAATTTCAAACCAACCTGTGACAAGGTGGAGATACTGGTCAATTCAATAAGGTTAGTCCAAAGGTCGATTGGACTAAGTTTTATGTGTGCAGTGAAGCAAGAGAACAGATGTGCGACGTCATGGGAAGTAAAGTTGTAGTTTGGGCACACGTTAGGAATAGAAGTGTGTATGAATGACAAGTAACTGTTTAGCACTTAACTGTATCCTGATCTCGATAGAGATAGGGATAAGTCTTATTGCACGGGGGAGTCGCCGTTCTTTCTGAAAAATGTTAGACAGGGACCGGTATGGAAGCTTTCTGCAGCACAACCTTGGTCTCGAAGAGAATGCTGTATCTGTGTGAAGGGGAGATGATTTATAGTTTTGCTTTGTTCTTCACAACAGGTATGAATACTTTTCTATATTTTTTTAGTCTCACCTTAAAAAATTGGTTGTTAATTGGATAATATTCAGTTAAGCAATCATTTTTTAATTTAAATTTATTTGATTATAAAATGATTATTTCTCTCTACATATCTCTTTAATCATACTGTTAGTAAAAAAAGTCTTATATCTATTCTAAACACTGTGATATATAAATATTTTTTGAATTGTTAACAATAATAAAAATTTATTTTTATAAAATCAAATAAAATTTTTTTTCTTTAAAATTAGAACAAGGACGATCTTATATGGGTCTTATATGTCTATAATAATGTAAATGTTAGTCATTTCCTATTGAACAATTTGGAATTGGGCAGTTTGACAGCATTTAGAACTTAATTTAATGCGGAAACAGCTTTCTGTGCTGCATCATCTAAGTCTTTAGCAGTTTGTATGGCAAGACCAGAATTTTTAAGTATTTTTCGTGCTTCATCTACATTTGTGCCTTCCAGACGCACCACCAGTGGTACATTTAAATTGAGTGTTTTTGATGCGGCCACAACTCCATTAGCAATAGTAGCACAATTTACAATGCCACCAAAAACGTTAACTAATATACCCTTAACTTTTGGATCTGATGTTAGTATTTGGAAGGCTTTCATCACTTGATCTTCTTTTACACCACCGCCAACATCAAGGAAATTAGCTGGTTCACCACCATTAAGTTTAATAATATCCATTGTAGCCATAGCTAAGCCAGCGCCATTAACAAGACAACCAATATTACCATCCATTGCTACATAATTTAAATTATGTTTTGCTGCTTCGACTTCACGTGGATCGGATTCCTCCTCTGTTATGTCCATAGCAAAAATTTCTTTTTGACGGAAAGCTGCATTATCATCGAAATTTAGTTTAGCATCAACTGAAATAACTTCGCCGGTATCGATTTCAGCCAAAGGATTTATTTCAATTTGTACAGCATCCACAGCTTTGAAAAGCGTATACAACTTTTGTATTTCATTGGCACAATGTTGCAGGGAAGCACCTTTAAATTCTAAGAATTTTGCAACATCCAAAAGTACATCGTTTGGTATGGGTTTATCTATATCTAGTGGTACGGTCTTAATTTTTTCTGGTGTCTCCTCAGCTACAGCTTCAATATCCATGCCACCTGCTGGTGAAGCAATAAGTACAGGTCCATTGTGCTCACGATCAAGTAAAATACAGAGATACGTTTCACGTGTAATATTTACACTGCGTGCTACCATTACTTTTTTAACCAAAATGCCATTTTTTGGAGTTTGCTTTGTTATGAGGCGGTTGCCAATCATTTTCTTAGTTAATGATAAAACGTCATCTTTTCTACAATTTTATAATAAAAAGTAAATAAAATTTGCAAGAGTTTTTATTGAAAAGATAACACAAGACTCACTTTGTGGTTATGTGCACGCCGCCTTTGAAACCATTATCAAATACACCCTTCCCACGACCACCCGCTAGTATTTGTGCTTTGACAACGTACTCTGGACATTCTTTTGATAAAACAATAAAACTAATTATGTCATAAAAATTAACAACTACAAGATAATTAAATTTACCGAATTTCTTCACAACTTCCAAATCAGCAGTAGTGGCATCGAGCATCTTGAATTCTTGTATAGCTACGCCATGCTTCTGTAACAAATCCTTACTCTGGAACTCAAGTAAATTCAAATGACGTATTTGTTGCACAGACTGCACCTTTTTAGTGTAAAATTTTATAAAATTAGTATGAGATTTATTTAAGTTTTCATGAAGTTTTTGTCCGGCATAACCTTACCTTTTTGTTTACATGTCGAAGTACAGCAGCAGTTCCGGTTCTTAGCATTTTAATAATGTGTAGCTATTTGTTTAATTTGATCAATTAATTTGCTATTAATATCATTAAAAATTTGTGGTTTACTTACTGGAAGACACAATTGATAATAAACAAAAATAACGTAACAAAGACCAACGTTAATTGCCCTCTTATCTAAAGATCACAGTTCAGTTGAGTTATGTGCGCTATTGATGTGGTTTAAAAGTAACCGGATATATGCATTTTGAATTAATAAGTAATTGATGTTGAAGTTAGTATAACGCATGTACAATTTTGACTACACAGCTGCTTCGTGTATTGCCAAATACCTATCATCATCTGATAGTAAAAGTTTTGGTTGCATTATGCTCTTTTTAAACTTTGCACACAAACAAAATTATTAATTTTAAATCCATATATATCATGCACATATTCTCAGTAAAATACTAGTACCACTATTTCTAGTGTATTTCTAGTGTGTTTCTAGTGTATCGTTTAGCATTGCACGTTTTTAAAAATTTGTCGATATATGTACAGACTACATTACTTTAAATGTATGTTGTTATAATTCGTAATAAAAAGGTGGGTAGTTTAAGTCAAAAACTGTTACAGGCTAACCACAATCAGCACAATAATTTTGTTGATATTAATTTTTCTCACAGAAATGATTGAAAGGGTACAAATAATAATTAGCTGATTATTTTACAACAATAAATAAAAATTTTTAGAGTTTGAAGATATTTAACGATAGTAAGTAAGATATTAAATTTAATTAATTATGTTGAGGCTAGTTGCGTCAGTGGACTTGAGCACCTTTACTCTGTAACTAACTGTGAGACTTCTTCGTAACCCCTCTCTACGCCTTGACTGGATTATTGTTTTTCACTTCATCAGATTAAGCAATAACTGACAGCAGATGTACATACCCCACCGAGAAGCCCATAACCATTCTAAGATTCGATAATGCAGTATTGGTAAGATGTCAGTTTTCGTAAATAGTTTTAGGGCTCTGTTCTTTATATATTTTTTGGTCGAATTAATCTTGAAGTCCCTAAGGATGTCATTCGTCCTAATGTACCATGACACCTTGAAAAGTCTTCTCAGAGCCTAGTTTTGTGCACTTTCCAACTGGCGTATAATAGTGTTAGAGCCTTGTTGAACACACCCATGTAGAAGTGAAGTTCGAATTATTTGATTATATATCAGCTTCCTGTTCTTATCATTGAGATTTTCATTTTTGAATGGCTTTTCAGTTGAACATTTGAAAGCCATGTGAATCGTTTGTCCACCGTGATGCTTAGATATTGAATGCTATACTCTCAATTTATTACCATATATCCCACTCTTTAATTAATAAAATTTTTATATATATAGATTCTTGAACTTTTTAAATATATATATCCAATTAGATACGTGCAAGTTCCTCGTCCTTAGCAATGCATATCAATTAGTTGTTTATTAAAAATCTTGCATCACTAACCGCTAGCAATTTAAATATTCACAATAGTTTGCTTAGCAATATAACAACTGTCAAAAACATCTGATAATTGTTTTGATATTTTTATAAGAAACTTTCACTTTTTGTGGGTTCAAGAATTTAAAGACTTTTACAATTTATATTTTTTAAAATGAATTTAAAATTGAGAAATAAGCAAACGAATATGACAAGTACAGTTGGACAAACGCACATATCACCATGGACTTCAGTGTCATGCTGTTTCGGACTTTCACTCATTTATGTAGCCAGTCTGTACGTTTGGAACAACAAACATAATCGCGATCACCCTACCACCGTTAAAAAAAGATTCTGCAGTGTTTTTGTTGTAATGTTGATAGCACCAGTCTTTGTTTACGCATTTTCATCCAACGAATTATTGGAAGAAGTAAATTTTCTTCAAATATTAGGTATACGTTTGGCTGGATTATGGCAAGCTATTGTCGTGCCTTTTTTACTAACATTGCTCCTATTTTTGGGACCAATCTGTGTTCAAATGCAAAACGAAACTTTGCGTATATTTATTGGTAAGTGTTATTTTATATAAAGTAGTTTTATAGTTTTTTTTTATTTTTATTAGATTTGAACTACTGGAAAAGTAATGTGTCGAACTTAATTTGGTGGCGAAATCATGTAGTTGCGCCATTAAGTGAGGAATTTGTTTATCGTGGCTGTATGATGCCACTAATTTTACAAAGTTTCACACCCATGCAAGCAGTGTTCATAACTCCATTATTTTTTGGTACTGCCCATGTACATCACATTGGAGAGCGTTTAGGACTAGGCATGGAATTAAAAACAGCCATATTAATATCAGGTTAGTGAAATTTGTATAAAATTTAAGTTTTATTAATAATAATATATATATATGTATATATTCTTTTTTTTAAAGTGTTTCAGCTAACATATACAACAGTTTTTGGCTTCTATTCAGCTTATTTATTCGCACGAACAGGACATATCGTTGCGCCATTTCTTGTGCATGCATTCTGTAACCACATGGGTGTACCTGATTTACAAGATTTGTGGCAACAACACGTTTTTAAACGTGTCATATTAATCATTATATATTTGGTTGGATTCTTTGGTTGGTGTATATTACTACCTATAGCGACAGCGCCAGAATTTTATTCAAATTGTTTGTACTGGCCACCAACTCGCAAATAATGACTGCACAAAATGCTTTAAACAATTAATAATTAAAAATAAACTAACTTAAGCAATACATTGTATATTAGATGAACAAAGAAGAAATATATTAATTTGTTAAATATTTAAAAATATGATTTTTATATTAAGCAATCAATTCTTCCTATCACTTTTAAATTAGCAATCTTTAACAGTGTTTCCAAATATGAGAAATTATTAATGGTATTATATGCAAAGCTAGATAATGTTAAGAGAGATTCTAAGATAATAATAATAGTAAGCAACTATAATTAGAACTTTTGCTAGTTTAATGGTTTCAAAAGAAACTAAATAAGCAGATCCTTGCTATCTACAATAACAACATGCTTAAATATACATAACACACACCTACTTCTATAGTTCCTGTTGTGTGTGGTGAGCGACGTTTTGTCGTCGTAATTGAAGAGTGGCTCGGAAACATAAAACCAGTCGTTTCTTAAACCCTTCTTCTCACTTAATTACATCCTTAACCTTTTATAGCGTTTATAATTGCTACCGTTTTCTGCTATATAGATATTCCGCGAGTTACAACAACAAAGGTAAAATAAAATATTGACGACATCCTGTATATCTTTTGTTATCATTTGACACCGGAAGAATATAGAGTGATGGGAATATTTGTAACTGTCTAATAATTAAAAAAGCAATTTAAAACAGTCGATGTTAAAGTTAGTATCCTAAATATTTGAGAACGCTTCTTTCTTAAAATAAACTATAAGGATTCGTATGAAATCCACTTAAAAGCTTTATATATACAATAAATGTAGAATTAATATACACAATATACAATTTAGTAAAAAGTATACAAGCTATGTACTTTATTTATTTTTTTCGCAGAGTTCAAAGATCAATTTATATCTTAAAAAGATTCAACCCTTAAGCGAGCTTTCTAGCTCATTGTTTGCTTGCAATTCTTTTACAATATCCAAGCCACCAATTAGTTCACCCTTAACATAAACTTGTGGATATGTAGGCCAATCGGAGTATGTTTTTAAGCCTTGACGTACTTCTTCATCGGTCAGAATATCGAAAGTTTCATATGGAATACTAAAATCAATATAAATATTACATAATTTATACTATTAACGTTTTATTATTTAATCGCTTACCCGACTTTATTTACTATTTCAATTAATGTTCTCGAAAAACCACAACGTGGTGCATTTCGATCACCTTTCATGAAGATCATTACTGGCGCATGATTTATTAATGATTTTAAACGTTCCTCTAACGTTTCACCTGAATTACTACTATTATTTGCTCCAAGCTTTTTACATTTCGTTGTCAAAGCTGCTATATCTACACCATCCACACGGTCTACTGCTGTTCCCGCTTTGAAGAATATAATAGTCGGCACAGCATCAATCTAACAAAACAAAGACGTTATCATCAATATGAATTCGTGATTAGCGCAAGGATTTACTTGATGCTTCAATGATATTTCAGCATATTTTTCTGCATTTAGACTGTAGAATTGTAGCTGCTTTAAAATTTTGGCTAATTCCTCTAGCACTTCAGATACTTGTTTACATTGTTCGGCCCAGTCGGCAGAGAAGAGCACAACTGAAACTTTGTCCTCGCTGCAATCAACAATATTATTAATTACTCTTCACTGATACATTGTGACTTACTTTATTGCATTATTGTATTCTTCAGCAGTTTTAATATTTATTACAGACATATCCAATTAATTTATCACTATAATTTAGATAGAAAAACTAAAAATTTTGTGATTAATGTTTTGTGGTTAGTTGTGAAAGTGAAGGTGAAAAGTATTGCACACTCTTAAGAGAAATATAAACTATTGTGAATTTTACTTTATTTGAGAAAAGTGTTACTTTTTATAAAACTCAATTTTTCCCTTTTATTTAACAATTCGACAAAAAAAACTAATACAAAATATTTTTATATATGTATTAAATTTTAAATATTTAAATATTTGAGTATTGTTACGAATTTCATCAGAGTAGCAACGAAATGTTTAAATATTATTTAAACATTACGTCAATTATTAATTTTTATAAAAAGTTAGTTTGGAAATTTGTTTGGTGTGACGCTGTGTTTTTATTAAATTGACTCCTAATAAATACTAGTTCTTTGTATTACACAAAATATATAAGTATAGTTTCTCCAATTCTCTAAAGTTCGTTTCATTTTTTACAAAATCCTGAGATACGAATAATCACGCAGGCGATTACGTAACAGTATATTTGATTTCTTTATTTAAATAGATTTTATTTATATAGATAGAAAGAAATAGAATAATAAAGGCACTCGGACTTTTTAAAATATTTTGAAATACTAATTTATTGGGATAACTTTTGACTCTAAGAATCACTAGGTTTACACGGGGTACAGTTAGTCAAATATCTCAACCCAACCTTTGTCATAGCCAGTTCATATCAATAAATGGTTTTAAAAAGCCCAATTATGTCGCTACATTTTTGATCATACATGCCATATATGTCACATATACGTTTTCATACGTGCTGCATGTTTCACGCTTGCTATAGGTACGTTATTGCT